CAGTAGGGCAGTAAAGGCAGGAAACCCTCAATCGGCAAGAGGTGACCTGGCTTGGCAGAACACCCAGCCGACTCCAAACTGGAAGAGTAGCGGATGAGACAGCCATCAGCAGGAGCAGGGATTTTGGTATCCAGTGGGACAGACAATGGGCCAAAGGGAGCAGCAGGGAACAAGCAACAGCATCTGCCAAGCCCACACTTACTAATGAGCACAAATGAAACCATCTATGGTCCCAGGGTTGGGAGGGGTCCCAGAATCCTTGGGGGTAGTATGCACGGCGCTGCCATCCAGCCTTATGCTTGTGACTTTGTGACTCAGAACTAGTGATATCTGATCTCATTCCTAGTCACAGATTGAAGGAGCTTGGGGAGATTTGGATTTCTTCTATATACTCTTATAAACACAAATAAACTCACACACTTGCATGTATATCCTATCCAAGATACGTGCTATGAATGTAAATGTTCACACATACCAAAGCTGTGCTTGTATATGAAATCATAAATTGTGAAAACGAGGTGGGGGTGGGTGGGAGTTGGGTGAGGGGCGTCTAAGGGGTGAATCTTCGGGTCTTGCCATTCCTGCTTCTGCTCTGCTTTGTCTGTTATGTGCTTCTACATAAGATTTCTTTTAAGAAAGATTTTCATGGCTAAAAAACAGTTTTGAAAACTACCTCAATATAATCCAACCCTATCATTTTATAAATGAGGAAGTCAGGATACGGACAGGTTAAATGATTTGCCTGTGGTCATGAAGACAAAAGTAATGAATTAAGAGCTCAGGTCCAGTGTTTCTGGTTTTGCCTTGTTTTCCTATTACACCCTGCAGAGGAAGAAAGAACATACACTAAAACAAAAAGCCTAAATATATTACAGAACTCCGTCTGTTTCTTGGTTTTAATGGTTGGGGGGTTGAGAATTGGCTTATTAGATCTTTTAATTTTTCTAGCTATGATTTTATAGCAAAAGAAATATTAGCTATGGGGCAATAATGTGGATTAAATTAATACAGTTTTGTATCAAATGACCACATTTAATACAATTTTAAATTTAACTTTAAAGTTGAATTTAGACTCTACCAGACATATTGTACTAATCAGAAATATATAACAAAACGAATCATTGTGTTTAGAAAAGGACTTGAAAAATATTGACCCCATTTTCTAAGCACAGAAGGAAACAAAAATGATGATAAGAAAGTTTGAGAAGAAATTCACAACAAAATGTTCAGAGAGTAGAATTTCTCAGCCTGGAGAAGAGAAAGCAAAAAAGGTAAATTTTTTTTCCGGAAATCTAAAATGTTGTTTAACTGAGTTGTGCTACTTTTCTCATCTACAAGGAAGAGTAAGAAGAGACCTTTACGAAGCACCATGAGAGATTTGTATGGTAGAGTCAGTAGAATTGAGATGATGATATGGACCTTTGGTGGTCCTCTAGATCTTGCAGAGTTGTGAGGATTAGAGATAGTACAAGTTAAGTGCCCAGTACAGGGAGAAATGGTAGCTACTGTTATGGACTCAGATGACTCAAGAGTCTCTGTTATTTCAGAAAACATCAAGCATCACCAGATGGTGGAGGCTGAAGGCAGCTCACCAGGGAGTCATAGCGGGTAGGGAGGAGGAGGCTGGGGTGTCACTTCAGATAAGTGTGTTAAATGGTCACTCAGATTGCCCCCATACTGCAGGCCTGTTGCCCAGGTTTGGGTAGAGTGCTCTTGTATGCCCTGCCCCTGCCTCTGCCTCTTCTGCTCTCCAAATAGAGATTCCCATCTGCCTGCTGTGCCCGTGCCGGAAGGCCATAGATATAGGCAGTGGAAATAAGGCAGGTCATTTTTTTTTAAACTCTAGGTGCCTCTGATGTCTTAATATGCTGCAATAAACATCTGAAACAGAATAAAATTCTGGACACAGATGGTTATCACAAATACCACCTCCAAGGTCACCTTTATTCTTTATCATCAGAGAAGGAATCTGTAGCTGGTGGCAGTGGGACATATAGCAGCTGGAAAGTGGTGACGGGCACATCATCCCACAGGGGGCTGTGATAAGGATGTACCCACGTGACAGGTGATGGAGATGGTGCCCACAGGGATTCCTAGCCTACCTGTGTGGGGAAAACTCTCTCTAACCATGATTTTCCTCTGTGCTCACACCACGACAATCGTCAGACTTCTATAACCAAATGCATGGGTTTTTTCCCCCCACAAAGCAGCAGACACCAGCTGGGTATCCTCTAATTCAGTTGTGACACTATCTACCAGGAGACACTGTCAGATCCCACAGGTTGAGGGCTCAGTCCCCAAGACCGCCCCCACAAAAAAGCGCGGCCCTCTCTGGGACTTCTGATGGACTGACTTCAGGTTGGGGTTCTCATGACCCCTTTTTTGGATTTGATTGATTTGCTGAAGTGGCTCACAGACCTCAGAAACCCTATTACCTTTACAGGTTAATTATAGAGGATATTGTAAAGGAAACAGATGAGGAGACGCATAGGGCAAGGCATGGGAGAAGGGGTGCAGAGCTTCCATGCCCTCCCTGGGACTCTATCCTCCAAGAACTTTCCCATGTTCAGCTCTCCAGAAGCTCCCTGAAACCTGTTCTCTTGGGTTTTTCTGGAAGCTTCATGACATCACCATTCCTTCCCCTAAGGTATAGGATGAGACCCTCTCATGGAAGAATCTTAAGACCCACAGTCAGGAAGGTGGGGGAACATAGAGTGAAAGGAGGCAGGAGGTCAGAGGGCTGCCCCTGAGGTCTAACCCACCCAAGATTATTACAAAAGACTGGAATAAGGGCTATGGGAGTTACGAGCCAGGAACTGTGGACGAAAACCAATATATGTCTTAACACCATACTAACGCTTAGTACCTCGGTTGTGTACACAACAGGAGAACGGGACACTATCACTGTTCACTTGTCTGTCTTCAAAGCTCTGTTTTCCTCTGAGTTTTGGTGCAAAGTTCCAATTCTGCCCTATATTCCAATTCTGCAAAGAATCAAAGATCAAAAGAGCTGCACAGAATCTTTTTGAACAGATGGAAAGGGGAAGAGACTCTGGGTTATTTTAAAGTATGTCTCTGGCCAACAGCCACTCCCTGTGGCTAACTGAGGTGCTTGAAGTTCAAACAGAGCCAGGCAGCCGTAGCTGGGTGAGGGAGTAGTCACATACTCTGTGAGCTCAGAAAGATGCTGTAGAATCACCAGACCTCCTTTCTACAATCAAGCCAAGCCAATTTCTATGGTCAGTGCCAAGATAAACTGCAACCAGAACCATGCCCTAAGACACACACACACACACACACACACACACACACACACACACACCCCACGCCATTTAAAAGAAACATCTAAACATCTGACAGAGATTTCTGGGTTTAGGCTTGTATACTACCCAATCAGGGCTCTGCCATTTGGACCAATCAGAACTGAACAAGTTTAAATCTGTCATTTGCATGAATGAACCTGATCAAGAAGTTTAAATCTGTCATTTGCATGAATGAACCTGATCAAGAACCAGGGCAAGAACTTTCCCTATTTAAGCCCAACCGTCCCTTTGTTCTTTGGTGAACCCACTTTCACTTGTGCTGAAGGCTGTGCCTCCCCAGTCTGCAGATTGTTTTTTATAGAAAATAAAACTCTCCCTTTTTCCTCCATAGATCTCATGGTCTTTCAATAACAGTTATTACTGATTTTTTTTTTCTGTCACACATGAAAAGGCCTAGTACAATGCCTGGTCCCTGGTGAGGAAAATGATCTATAAATAATTCATTAATATTAGCTGATAGTACACATAGACTCAAGCTGTCACATCTCCCCAGCGATACCAGACATCAGTTTCATCATTACTGAAATGCCTTCCACTGACACAGATATTCTGTGGTTTTCCTTCTTTCTTCCTCTCTTCCTCTTCCTGCTCTCCGCCTGCCTTCCTTCCTTCCTTCCTTCCTTCCTTCCTTCCCTCCTTCTTTCCTTTCTTCTTTCCTTCCTTTAACTTCTTGCCACCTTCAAGGGCATTCAAGGATAAAGATGTTGGAGGAGGGTCAGGTTGTCATAGAGTAGATCTGTCTAATTCTGTCCAAGAGTGGTCACAAATAGAGCCTTCCAAATGTGAGGGAGGACAATGGTAACATGAATCCACTGAGTACATATCAAGTCTTACACTGTATACTTCACATGCACTAACTCTCCTTCTCTTCACAACAAGCATGCAAGGTGTGTCTATAATTGTAATGGAGTTGCAGGCATTTGGCTTATTCAACCTAGACAAATTCAACTGTGCATACTTGACCAAGAGAGAGGCATGAAGGATGAGGGCCTAGAGGATGAATTTCATATAATTTGCACAAGTGATTTCGCTCCCAATTCCACTCAGTGAACTTAGACCCAAAGAATGCACAAGATGTGAGTTCCCGCGAACTGCCTCTATTCCCGGGATCCTTCTCATGGTGTGAACATCTCACAACACCAGAATGATTCCGATGACTAAATTTACAATACAAGTTTTTTTCATTTAAAATAGGCTGTAAACTGAGGCCAAGAATTTGATCTGTTTCACTGTTAGAGGAAAAGCTGGCCATGTAGAGCCATCGAGAGATGATTTGGGAGAGAAAATTTATAAACACTTTGAAGTATTATTAGGAATAAATTTTGTCCAGGTGCAGTGACTCAGGCCTGTAATCCCAGCACCTTGGGAGGCCAAGGAAGGCAGATCACTTGAGTTTAGAAAGCCTGGCCAGCATGGCGAAACCCCATCTCCACAAAAAATATAAAAATTAGCTGGGTGTGGTGGCTCACGCATGTAGTCCCAGCTGCTCGGGAGGTTAAGGTGGGAGGATTGCTTGAGTCCAGGAAGCAGAGATTTCAGTGAGCCGACATCGTGCTACTGAACTCCAGCTTAGGTGATAGACCAAGCCCTTCTCAAAAAAAAAGAACAAATTTTGACACAGGCTATATCTTGCCTCATTTTAATTTCGTCTCACACATGACACTTTATTTTATCTCCGTTTTACAGGTGGGAAAATCAAGGCTCAGAGAAGTTGAATAACTTGCCTCAAGCCATATATTTGGCACCAAGATGTGATCAGAGCCGGGTGAGTCTGGCTTCAAAGCACATGCTCCTTCAGCTCTTCTCAAGTCCAGGTCAGCTCTCCCCTTAAGTCCAGTTTCAGACACTTGCCTTCCTCTCGGCCATCCCCTGGCTGTCTACATCATCTCACGTTCCTCTCTCTTCTAAGGCCTCTGCTCAGGGCTATCTTGACAGTCATCAGGTGCCAGGGTGTACCTTCAGCCAGCTCACACTGGGCCGGCCATCCTGGGCCTTCATCTGTTGCAGGCTGTCACCTGTCCTAATGGCTGCACTGCCTTTCCGGTTGTTGGAATATGTATCCTAGTGCCATAGCATTACTCCTTGTCTCCCTGATACAGTATAATAAAGAGAGATTTATGTAAAACAAAAGTAGCATTGTAAGTAATTTTAGAATGACTTTGCCACTTGGGTCATGGATGGTCACTGACATCTTCATTTTCCAGAGCCAAGAACTGAGGTCCAAAGAGCGTGCCTTGCCCAAGGCCGCACAGGAGGTAAGTCAGGACCTAAACACACCTGATTCTGTATCATTTCATGTTCATGTTCACGCCCTGCCCAGGAATCCCCACACCCAGATACCTCAGGCTTTGCTGAGAATTTACGGTGACAATTGATGGGACTCTTTTCAGGAGAATGACAAGTTGCAGGTGAACTCTTGGAACAAATGTGGATTTTTTTGTCTTCATTTGGAATGTATGGCAAACTCCTAAGACCGTGTCAGAATGCAGAGCCACTGGAGGCTCAGGACTTGGTGGGAGTGTGGGGAGCGCTGTGTGTCTGCCTTGTTTTGATCCATTCTACTGCTCCTGAAAATGGCACTGGCTATACCAGTGGCTGAGATCCTTCACTTGCAGAAGAGCTTCCCAGAGAGGAGCAAGCCCTCCTGCCATCACCTCTGGTATCATCCTGCAGGTATTAAAACAAACTCAAGATTGTGTTGAAAAATGTTTTCCTTTTGAAGACGCGAATAAGAACAAGATCATATCAATGGGTACGGATCATGGCAGAAGTTTCCTTCAGCTGAGTCTTTTAATGAGCCATTTCATAATGAGGGCAGTATCTATACACAGTATCTGTCTGCTAGCCGAGGTTTAAACACTTTTATAATATTTTCTCCCATTCTCACCCCCTTCGAGGCTCTGGCTTTAATTCTTTTAAACAGTAACATTAATTGGCTGTTAAGTAAAACAGGAGAGAGAACAATAAATTTACAATATTTTGAGAAGCTATACCAGTTCTCAAGCATTCAGAGAAACAAGCTTGGCTTTTACGAGGTAATTATGATTTAGCATTTTCTCTCGCCCTGTTGAGTCTGTGGGCTGCCTCTAAAACGGATCTGGAATGAATGTCAAAGTCAGAATTTATAGTCAAACCTTTTCAACAGATAAAGCACAGGAGAAGTTTATTGTTTTGTTGAGGAGGGGGTTCTAAGCAATATTTCCTTCTGCATTTCTGTGCTGTTAGGTTTTGTAGGATTTCTCCCCTCCCATTTGAAATGCTATCTATAAATTACTTTTCCTGATAAGGCTGCAGTATCATCAAAAAGTGATAGTCTTTGCAAGCAATCATGACAGAGCGTGTCAATTTAAATCATTTCTCTCTCTGCCTCTCACTCTTTTTTTTCCTCTTACCTTCAACCGAAACTATTATTTCAATGTTTCCACACTTTCAGAAATGAGCAGGAATTGACTAAGCTTGATGAGTTTGAGGTATAAGAGATCTTCCTGCTCCTTCCTTCTATCACCTTTTTCCCCTGTTCTCTCTTTGAAATCAAAACTGTGTTTAGATGTTACCTTCAGGGAGAGTAGACTCTGGGGTCATCAGGCACTGCGAGCTTTAGCCCTTGCTATCCCGCCAGCGTGCTGGATTGACACTACCTCTGCAAAAATTATGACAGTGAGAAAAATCTGACATAGGAAAATTGTCAATAAAAGAGATGTGACCTAACCGACTCCATCTTGCCTATAATCTCCAAGCTGCCCTTGTTCATTTTGGGGCATAGGCTGAACTAACATTGGGAAGAATTTCATGTACAGCTTAACTCTGAAACAACTATTATAATAGTCTTCTCCCTGAAACAATCCCCTCTTTGCTTGAGGGCCAGACCACTTTTGTAAAACCGAGAAATTGGCCACAAGATTAGAAATTACAGCTCAGGAGTCATGCAGCCAGAGGCTACAAGATTCCTAATTTGCTTAAATTATTACTCCTATGAGTAACATCACTATCATAAAACCTAAGATTGATATTCAAGATATTTTTTAGACCCTGCATTCTGATGGAGAAATATGGACCAGCTGGCACCACCCAGACCAGTAATCTTGGTCAACCAGTTCTGTGATCCCTCCCAAGAACAGAAGATAGCAAGAAGAATCTGTTTTCACTCTGTGATTTCATCTCTGACCCAACCAATCAGCACTCCCCATTCCCTAGCCCCCTGCCTGCCAAACTACCTTTAAAAAACCCTAGCCTTGGCTGGGAGCAGTGGCTCATCCCTGTAATTCCAGCACTTCGGGAGGCCAAGGCGGGTGGATCACCTGAGGTCAGGAGTTTGAGACCAGCCTGGCCAACATGGTGAAACCCTGTTTCTACTAAAAATACAAAAATTACCCTGGCATGGTAGCAGGCACCTGTAATCCCAGCTACTTGGGAGGCGAAGGCAGGAGAATCACTTGAACCCAGGAGGCAGAGGTTGCAGTGAGCCAAGATCATGCCATTGCACTCCAGCCTGAGCAGCAAAAGTGAAATTCCATCTCAAAAAAAAAGAAAAAAAAATTTTTTTTTTCTCTGAATTTTCAGGGAGGTTGATTTGAGTAATAATAAACTCTAGCCTCCCAGTTAGCCAGCTCTGCATGTCTTAAACTCTTTCTCTATTAGAATTCCTCAGTCCTGATAAGTAAGTTTAATCTGGGCAGTGGGTAAAATGAATCCACCAAGCAGTTACAGGATCTTAGGCAGTTGTTACTGACTTGAACTTGGGTCCACTCACCCAGCATTCAAAAAAAAAAAAAAAAAAAAAGCCAAACACTGACACTGAAGTTTGCCACAAGAGAAAGTGAGGCATTTATTGCAGGGTTCCAAGCAAGGAAGATCAGGCAGCTCACACTTAAGATCCAAACTCGCCAGTGGCTTACAAGCAACAGTTTTCAAAGGCAGGGGTACATTTCAGGAAAGCAGAACTTGCAGGCAAAATGGTAACTCAATACATGGAGGTTATACATTGGTTTGGCCCAGAAAGACAGGATATCTTGAAGACAGGCTTACAGGTCATAGGTGGATTCAGAGATTCTTTGATTTGCAACTGGTGAAGGGAGCAAGGCTTTGTCTAAAAACTTGGGGTCAGCAGAAAACAATGTGAATTAATGGTTTGGCCTGAGGGTATGACTCTCTCTAGGCCCCTCAGGAAGAAATTGTCGTCAGAGCTCAGTCCTCACTATCCCATTATCTGAGCTCTATGTGATAGTTGTTTGGCATTTTCTACCTGGTGGGGGTCTGGGTTTCTGAAAAGCAACTCAAGAACATATGCTAAGATATTTTTTGTTTTCTTTGGGGAACCAAACTTGCTTGAGACACTATTGCTTAAATTATTATATCTTCTTGCTTGTTAGGATGTTCATTACCTTCTCAAAGCTAGGTAGGTGCCTGGAATTTTCCTTGAAACTCAAGACTTTCCTTATTTCTCTGGAGGCCTCTAACAGGGGTCCCTGCTCCATCTCAGTCACCTTGCCTCTACAAACCCCTCCCCCGCTGTTTCTTAATTTGTCAAATAAGGCAATGAGTGGTTTCAAAGTCCTCTTCCAACGCCGAAATGTTAAGATTACACATGGCCCAATAGTAATACATTAGGTCAACTTGGTATATGCGTGTTTGTCTTCAGAGGTAACAGAGATAGAAGGGAGAGAACCATGTGATAAAGACTCTGATCTTAACCAAATTTTAGTAAGGCTCCTTTAAGCCCTCTAGACCTTGACCTTCAATATCTGTCCTCGATGGGCCTGCATCACCCAGTTTTAGTAAAGCTCTAGTCAGTTTAGGGAGAATCCTTCACTTTCAATATCGGATCACGCTCTGTATCTGACCCAATACCTCATCTTCCTTACCCTTCAGTGATATCTGATCACCTTGGCCTGTCTTCAGCAAGAATCCTCTTAGGTCAGTTTAGCAAGACTCCCCTTACCGTGGATGTCTCTTCTTAGTGTTTTCCATTCACCCCCCATCCCACCCCTATGCTCTTTGGCAATAAATAAATCCCCACTTTTTGGAGTTGAGCCCAGTCTCTCTTCCCTACTGCAAGACCCCTTTGCAGTAGTCCCCTTCTTGAATAAAGTCTTCCTTACTGCCTTTAACAAGTCTATGAATAATTTTCTTTTCTTTGGCAGATGTTAGAAGTTGTGAAAGGAAAAGGCCCATTCACCATGCTTCTTTATCTCCACGAGGAACCCCTCTGGGGCCTCCTTATCAGTGCAGCCCACCCTTTTCAGGGTAAGGGGACTGCACTGACATGCACAGGTGTTTTGAGGGGAGGAGAGGAGAGAAGGGATAGCTGCCCTTCAAGATTGTCAGCTTTCCGATATAGTCAGACCACAGTTACATCCAACTGAAAAGTGAGTTTTGCTTTGTTTTCTTCTGGTTTCTATCTCACCGGACAGCCCTTGGCAGTTCTGCCTGGCAAGTTGGAAGGAGGAAGTTGCATCTCTGTCTTATTCTCCTATGTCTTCAGGGAAGAAGCCTCTTAGTAGCTAAGATCAGAGACTAGAAATCGCCTCTGAGCATCTGATTCAATTACATATTATATGTGAAGGCGTTCAAGACATACCACCCCAAAATAGACTGCTTTGGTACATTGATTATTTTAAGCTGAAGGCACTTGAAAACAGCAAATCCAAGGAGACACCTTCTCTGAACTTCCCTTATTGGCCTAAAGACAGATCCTCCAAAAGGAACTCCATTGTTCCCCCACCCTCATCCCGGTGAGCTCCATCCACCAAGAAGATTAACTCTTATTCCAGGAGAGGAGATTAGAAGTACACATTGGCCCACGGTGGTTTGAATGTGTCCATGCCAAAATCCAGGTGTTGCCAGTGCAATGGTATTAAGAGGTGGGGCTTTTGGGAGGTGAGTGGGCCATGAGGGCTCCTCCCTGGAGAATGAGATTAGTGCCCTTATAAAAAGTCTGCATGAAAGGTGTTTGACTTTCTTGCCTTTCTCCCTTCTGCCATGTGAGGACGCAGCAAGAAGGCCCTCTTCAGACAATGGATGTCGGCCCTTGATCTTAGACTCTTTAGCCTCCACAGTGTCAGAAATAAATTTCTGTTCTGTATAAATTACCCAACCTGTGGTATTTTTTTAGCAGCACGAAATGAGTGAAGACACGCCCCCAGATGAACTTTATCACTAACTATCATATCTCCCATTTATTCTTCTAAGGGCCCATGTGTCTTCCTAAAAATCATTTCCTCTCCCCGACATCACCCACACCACCTCTCTACACACCTTCCCCTATGAGGATGGGACATAAACTCCCAAATCTCACTGTCTTTTTAGGTAGTCACTTTTTTTCTTGTGATGTTTCTGTGCACATAATAAATTTGTATACCTTTCCTCCAGTTAATCTGCCTGTCATCAATTTATTTCCTAGGCCTAGCTATCAAACCTAGGAGGGTAGAGGGAAAGTCTCTCCCATCCTTATATATGCAATATATTATGGATTATATACGGCACCATTGACTGTGTAATGCATCTGTCATCATATATTCTATATAGCTTTGTAATATAACAGTTTGTTGTAGCTCAAATTGATTGAATATTAACTATGTGCCAGACTTGCTATTATATATTTTTCTTATGTGTTCTCATTTAGTTTAGATAATGTAGTTTATTTAAATGGCAATTCCAAATAATATACAATGTTAATTTCTTGCAAAGATTTCTTCTGTCTTCAGGATAAAGAAATTACGACATATAGAAAATGGCCCAACAATAAGAATGCCCTCAAAAAATAGATGAGAATAATGAATTAGGGATTATTACAAATCCTAACCCTTCCTGTCCCCCACCGCCTCCTCACATTCACCCTAACCAAACACACACACCGTCCTTAAAGGTCTAATATAAAATAATTCAGGGATCCCATTATATTCTAAAACCTTCTCAGCTGGGATAATTGGCTTTGGAACCTCCCTTTTCCCCACGACTCTCTCTTATATGCCAATATCTCCATCACATAGATAATTTATGAAAACAGAGTAGACACTTTTTAATAATTAAGTGATAGATAATAGACGCTTTTAAAATAAGCTGTAAGAGCTTGGGAAAGGAATGGAAACTAGGATGGTTAGTCATCTGCATATTTATTTGGAATGACCCAAAAGGCTATTCATTTTATACCCCATTATCTGCAACCAGAGACCCCAAGAAGTTTGCTCTGTCTGCTAGCTGGGGTATTTTCCAGCAGGCATTTGGGAGCTGCAGTCAGTGGGAGGGAGAACGGGAGAAGCATATGCCTGCCCCAGTCTAAATCACCCGTATCACCCACTCTATTCTCTCCAAATTACAGTGCAAACAATAACACAGGTAAAATTAGCCAAGACACTAATTATGTAGTGCAAATGTGTAAAGGATATAGAATGATAAATGGCCAACGCAGAACATGTTGTGTCATATCTTGTAATCTCGCTGGCTACGGAGCCCAGGAACAAAGGGGGAATTGTGCTCTGTTTGTCTAACATGCTCCATGTGACAAATTGGAAATCCTTCCTAATTAAGATATTGTTAAATGTCCTTTGTTAGCAGATTTTAACAATGTTAATTAGGAGGTTAGGGTGATCGCTGTTCATCTAGCAAACAATTAGGGTGATTTGCACTGTAGCTTTTGAGAAACTTCTCAGCAAATCAGGAGTTTCCTCTCTGCAGAGAAGGGGGCAGCCCAGAGAAAGAAGAGAGGCGGGAGGAGAACAGACAGTGTTTCACCTAACATTTTTAGCTTACGGACCAGGGTAAAGCATGAGGAATTGTTAGATGTGGGCCTAGTAGCCATTGAGATAGCAGTGTTGACCTTTACCTGGTGGCATAACCATGTTTGCAGATGCGCTGTCTATCCCCAAGATGGTTCTTGTCTTGGTAATCCCAGAAAGCGAGGTCGGCCGGGAAAGCATTTGAAACAGCAGGAACCTCTCTTAGGGGACTTCCAAGCTACCCCTCCCCATCTAGCAAGAAACAAAATAAATTTTGAGTCCCTACGGAGGGAAATTCCAGGCACCTAACTAACACTGCAACCAGCAATTAGGGAAGTAAATGAATAACCTGCTAAGCAGGAAGGTAATAGTAACTTAAACAATAGCCACCAAGGAAGCCAGAGTCACAAGATGTTTGCTTCCCTATAGAAACTAAAAGATAACATCTTGACGTGTCCTTCAGCTGTTTTTCAGAAACAGGAGCCCCACCAGATGGGACACGCTGACCACTGCCACATAGACCTCAGATAAGGGGGCACTGAGGACTGAACTCTTGACCAATGTTCTTTGTTCTAATTTCCTCCTGAGGGGCCTGGAGAAAGTTACACCCTCAGGCCAAACCTCAACATTGCTTTCTGCTAACCCCAGGTTTTTAGAAAGTCTTGCTTCCTTAACCAATTGAAAATCAAAGAATCTCTGAATCCGCCTCTGACCTGTAAGCCTCTACTTCAAGATGCCCCCCTATGTAGGGCCAAACCAACAGGTAACTTCCTTGTATTGGTTTACAATTCCTTGTATTGGTTGTATGCAACCCTTCCTTGTCTTGGTTATAACTACAGCTATAGTTTAATGCCTTTAAATGTACATTTCAGGAAAGCAGAAGTCACAACTGTAAAAACCCTTGCTTGTCATCCGTCTGGGAGTTTGGGTCCTAAGTGTTAGCTACCCGATTCTCCTTGCTTGGCACCCTGAAATACATGCCTGTCTTTCACTGCAAATCCCAGTGGTGGTAGTTTTTGGCTTTTTCTGTGCACTGGGTGGGTGATCCCAAGTTTGGTTCAGTTGCACTCAGTTTTCAGGTTCCTTAATCATCTGGTCAAGTGAAGGTATTTTCCTAAGGCAACAAAAACAATGCCATACCAGCCATATTTCAAAGTTTTCTGAAGTTAGAATTTATTATTTTTAGCAGCATATGAGCCTGGGCTCCTTCTGCTATACTCTCCAATCCCTGCCACTTCTATGCCCCCAACATACATCTGCATAATAAAAAACACTTGGCAGCCTTTTTTCCTTTTCATTCTTTTCTTCCCTCTCCCCACAGCCTGATACTTGGCGGGGGAGGGAGGGAGAGAAGGAAGGAAGGAAGGAAGGCAGGAAGGAAGGAAGGGAGGGAGGGAGGGAGAGAAGAAAGGAAGGAAGGAAACGAAGGAAGGAAGGAAGGAAGGAAGGAAGGAAGGAAGGAAGGAGGGACTTTGCATTTTGCTATTTTGAAACTGGAAATATGAGAGCAAAGTATATTTTGAGAGGAGGACAGAACTGGCCATTTGAAAACCACCAGAGCACTTTAGTTGCTTTGAGAATCTTATTCTCTCTTGGCAAAGGTGCCTGTGCAGAAGGAGGGCAGGCGTCCCAGTGAGAGGAGGGATGGGACTGGAAATCGAATGCAAAGACTCTGAGTTCTATTCTGAGTTTCACCAATGATTTCTCATACAAACTCAGGAAGTCACTTAACTAAAAGTCACACCTGCTTGGAAATGGCACTAAGTTTCTAACCACACACACCCAACGCTTGGGGAAGAAAAAAATCCTAATAGCTATGGGCAGCTGCTGGGTGCCGGGCACTGTTCTAGGTGCTTTACATAAATTTAATCACAGCCAGCACTTAGCTTCGACACTAAGGGTCCTAAGGCCAATTTAAGTGGCTCTCAAGTCTCTTTTATCCTTGGGGGGCCCCATCTGCTGGGGGAATAAAAAGCCCTTTTATGTTCTACAACCTCACAGACCACCCACCCCAGCAGTTTGTGCTTTGTCACAAAAACCCTCCACCTAATTAACAGGGCACAATTTTGATGAAATGTTGGTGAAGTAAATTATTCATGCCTGTCAGTAATCAAATATAGATGGGTCATCTTGTAAACTGTTACCGCGTCTGTAATTTGCTTTAAAGTACTTCAGCATAGATCATGTGATGTCACGTACATATTAGTTACCTAAAGCCGCAACCTAAGTGACGGTAATAGGAATTTACCTTGTAGGAATCTAACTTCAGCAGTGTTCTTATCAAACAAGGTCAGAAATGGGTATTCATTGGGTATTCACTGGGGAAGTCAGTGGCATGCTGATCAGCATAATAGCTATTGTAAATGAGCTCTCATTGAAGAAATTTGATCTGAGTCATATGAAGTCAAGTATGGAGAGGAACCCAGTTTTCTGCTTCTTTGCACTGGCATAAATACATATTCAGCCGTGACTCGGTGCTCCTGGCCTGCCCTATTTTTCCCCTCTGTGTATCCACTGCCCAGCACAGAACAGATTCTCAACACACATCCCCTGAATGAATGATAAAAGCTATTCTGTCACAGCTGGGGTTAAATTTAAGTAGGGTAGAAAACCCACCGAACTTTTTCAAGACCTGATGGAAAACCTTGGCAGATGAATATTACCCTTTCCATATTCCAGAAGAGTGCTCTCAGGATTTCCTGTGTTGCCATTTGAACCCTTCAAAAACACCAATAAAGCATTTACTTCCATGGAGCACTCATGGTCTTCTTAAAGCGGGTCAACTTTTCCAGCTGTCTTTATCCACGGGCAGCACTGCCGGAGACCATAAACCCATCCAAATTTAGACACACAATAAACTGGAGGAGTGGAGGGGTATTCAGGCTATGAAATTCTGATGGCTCATTACCATGACAAAGGTTGTAACAACTTGGACAGGAAGCCGAACAAAAGGCATCCACCGGTCTATTTACAATTCTAGGATTGTATTTGTAATCTCTCTTTGCAGGAGAAAGAGACCGCCGGTAAAAAAGACTGAAACACAATAGGAAGAGAGAGTCCACAAAGCTGAGACACCAAAGGGATCAGAGTGTGAGCACACACACTATGTGTGTATATCTTCTCTGTGTATGTACACAGTCGATGAGAGTAAATTATTGTCATGGGTAAGGGTTTAACATTATTGACCTGTACAATGGCTTTTAAAAATATATGCAACATGGCTGGAATGCCAATTTGAAGTGGAGAAGCATTTAGGAAAATGAATAGGCTGAGCCAGAGTATTTTCATGGAACAGAGCAAGCCTCTTTAATTTGTTCACTGCAGAGAGCCTGAGAGTAAGCTAACATTGTAACCTGCTAAGTAAAGCACCATGAACATGATTAATAATGCAGAGGGGGAAGGCTCAAGAGTTATTGTGCTGTGCAGTTTTTGGTTTCAGGAAGGCAATAATTGTTTCAAAGTCACTGACAATTTTGGTTAACAAGTGATACAAATGGATCGGGTCAGTTGGCCGTTCTCTGGGCGCCCTCCCACACCTACAGCCGCTAAACTCTGCAAATTCTGATTCATTACCATCGACTCCCCTTGTGTTACCTATCTAGCCAGTGTCTGTAGCTGGGAAGTGTGTGGTGGCAGGGATCATTCAAAAGGGCTCCACCGCCTTACAGTCCCTGGAGCAGAGGAGCAAAGTCTCTGCTTTTGTTCAGCTGGAAAAGAATGAAACCCATGTTCTATTCTATTGTCCCACTGCAAGCCAGGCTTTTTAATTGGCATGTTGGAGTCAGTGTTTAAAGAGGTGTGCAATGACAGCTCAGAAGTGAGGCATCATGGGGCAGCAGTGACTTCACCTCCAGTTTAATCCTGGTTGGAATTTGTGTGTGCTGTTGCTGTTCCTGGCTCCTAGGAAATGTGTGTGGTTGCTGTTAGCGGAGGGGCAGATAGGGCTGCACTTAGATGACAGGGTTGCGCTTAACATGTTGCATTAATCCTGGGCTCTGATGCATCGATCCTTTCTTTCCCCTCCACCTCCTCGGCCCCTGATAAACATTAAGAAAGTTGGTGCCTAACCACACTTCTCATTCTGCTTCCTCTGGTTTCCATCTTGTTAGGTGCACATGAATAAAAATGTCACTTTGTCAATCCCTTTTATGCCTACAAAGTGCCCCTCATGTGAATACCTGAGGATGAGACAGACAATTAACATTGAGCAATTCAATGCAACAAACATTTATTGAACCTCTTTCTGTAATTGATTGAAGGTCTTTGAGTCATTAACAAAATTGCTTTTGTGACTTTCATGACAAAGTCAAGGTGATTCTTCCAGTTAGCCATGTGAGTGTGTGTTTGTGTCTGCCGGTGGTGTCTAGGAAGTTTGGTATTGATGAGCATATCTGGCATAGGAGACCAGAATATGCCACCCCGAAATATGCCTTTTTAGCATAAGGATTATTTTGAGCTGATTATTTCGAGAAGCTGCAGACACAGGACTGAAAGTGGAGTAGAAGTTACCCTTTTGCAAAGGAACTTTGCATCTATAAAGGAAATCTCCATTTGTAATCTCCATCCCTCTCTATACCAGGAAGAGAAGGATGACTAAATCACTAGACACTCATCAATGGAGAAGGCACCCACATGAATCTGCATAACAACTTTGTTCCTGTGTACCCTGCTGTTCCTGGATAACTCCCTATTACTGGGCTTTCCCACGTCCTTCTTTGTTTCACTTGAGGAATATATTTAAGCAAACTACTCAGAGTCCTATGGTCCATGTCTACTCGGGGGACATCACCCTGCTCAATATTAACTTGTATTAAGACTGGCTCTGCAGTTTTTCTGATTTGATTTGATGGAAGACCATGGTGTGGATTATTGTGGAGAGTGCATTCCTACTATAAAAGTATTCCATTTATGAATTCTAGAACTGGAAAATCTGGTTATACTCTCCTAGCCTTCATTTCATCCAGCTTGTCAATCCTCAAATACTAAGCATCATTACTCTTTTTATACATATACATGTATTCTTAAGTCATCTTAATTCTTTTTTTTTTTTTTTTTTTTTGAGACGGAGTTTCGCTCTTGTTACCCAGGCTGGAGTGCAATGGCACGATCTCGGCTCACCGCAACCTCCGCCTCCTGGGTTCAGGCAATTCTCCTGCCTCAGCCTCCTGAGTAGCTGGGATTACAGGCACGCACCACCATGCCCAGCTAATTTTTTTGTATTTTTAGTAGAGACGGGGTTTCACCATGTTGACCAGGATGGTCTCGATCTCTTGACCTCGTGATCCACCCACCTCGGCCTCCCAAAGTGCTGGGATTACAGGCTTGAGCCACCGCGCCCGGCCAAGTCATCTTAATTCTTAATTATTTTCAAAAAATTACACAAGGAATACATGATTATAGCCAAAAATTCAGGATACATTGATTTAAAAAACCAATTTAATTATAACACCACAATCCTAAAGTAATTGCTGTTTTGTTTTTGTTTTTGTTTTTACATGCAATTTTCCAATTCTTTTTTTTTACAATAGGATCCTACGTAGGGGAGGGAAAAAAAATCTCTTCGTTCATCCGTTCTTCAGGTGGGGCCCTATAAATTAGACTGGCCAAAGACAGATTAACAAGAGAAAAACAGGCTTATTAACATGCCTATTATGCTAACATACACCCTTTTTCTTGTTTTAGCCTAAGATGGTATATAAGCCATCTAACGAGACCTTTCATTTACTCATCTTAAATCATCTTACTCTTAGGTGATACATTATCAAATTTATAGTAGAATGGTGCATCAGTGAAGGGAAATATATTTAATTTTTTTAAAATGCTAAAATGAGAATTTTCTTCAAAGCCAAAGGGTAGGATTAAACCAGTTTTTCTTCTCCTTAGTACTTCAAAATTATATTTTTTCTGAAGGGCCTTTCTTTCAAGCTTAATTCTGAAAATAGAGGATTCAGAGACATTTATTAGTATATGGAAGTAATGTAAGCTGATAAACACACACTGTTAAAACAATAGTACTTTTATTAATTGATGTATTTTCCTAAAGAGCAGCTTGTCAAGATGTATCAAGAGCTTTTTAAAAATGTGCACACCTGTTGACCTAGTAATGCCCTTTCTGGAATTTATCAAAGAGAAATAAATACATGAATAGACCAAGACCAATTAGACAAACGACCAAAGACATTTATTGTAGACTTGTATATCATGGGGATACATTTGGAATGTTTTAAATGTCTAGCCATAAAGGGTTTGTTAGGTAAATGATGGTCTCTTTACACAGTAGAATATATGATGACAATTACGAATGCTGTTGTAGTAGAAGAATATGTATTATCTTGGAAATAATTCACTCAGCACGTGATCAAGTACAAAAAGCAAGTTCTACAATATTCTGTAGAGTAGGTGAAGGGTGCCAGATATGCCACCCCAAAATATGCCTCTTTGGCATATCGATTATTTTAAGCTAGAGCCATTGAGAATCAGCAGACACAGGGAAAACTCTAAAAACAGGTCAAAAGTTTTCTTTTAAAAAAGAAATTTCCTTTTGTAAAGGATGTCTCCCTTTCCTGTACCAGGAAGGGGAGGACTTTTAACAGCTCTCTAATGAAGAAGGCACTAACTTAATTCTGCATAACAAACCTCAATAAATAATCCTTGTCTACTATACATTTCCTAGGTCTCTCCCTCCTAGAAACCAAAACCCCTTTTTCTTGTTTTAGCCTAAGAAGGTATATAAGCCATCTAACCATGCCTTTGGTTCACTCATCTTTAGGTGCTCCCATGTGTAAGCATAATATGCATGTTAATAAGCCTGTTTGTTTTTCTCTTGCCAGTCTAATTTATAGGACCCCATCTGAAGAACCTAATATTGGTGAAGGAAGAGATTTTTTTTTTCCCCTACATAGGATACCATTATAATAAAAGAATTGGAATATTACATGTAAAAAAAAATAACAGAAGTTACTGTAGAATTGTGGTATTATAATTAAATTGTATTTTTTTTAATCAATGTACCCTAAATCTTTGGCTATAATCATGTATTCCCTGTGTAATTTTCTGAGAATAATTAAAACCATACCAAAAAATACTTAGATTTTTCTCTCTTTGCTAATTTCAATGTGAAGTGATACCTTCCACCAGCACTGACTTTATCAAGAAGGAATTTGGTAAAGCACTAAAACTGGAGTTCATGAGAGACAAATGATTAACTTTATGTGTCATCTTGTCTAGCTACGGTGCCTGATTGTTTGGCAAGCACTTGTCTACGCGCTGCTGTGAAGATACTTTTTCAGATGTGATTAACATTTAAATCAGTACACTTAAAGTAAAGCAGGTTATCTTCTCTAGGAGACAAAAAAAAATCTCTGTTCTCTACCCTTCTTAGGATCTCCAGCCGAAGCTCTATAAATGAGAATGACAAAAGACAGATTAGCAAGAGAAAAACAAACATATTTATTAACATGGGCATCGCACATACACACAGAAGCACTCAGGGATGAGGAACCTAAAGGGGTGGTTAGAACTTGGGTTTACATACCATCTTAGGCCAAAGAGGGTTAGGGCTTTAGGGGAAGAAGGACAGTTATGAAAAAGTGACCAGGAACAGTATGATGAACAAACAACTGTTGCTTTTTTTTTTTTGAGATGGAGTCTGGCTCCTGTTGCCTAGGCTGGAGTGCAATGGTTCGATCTCAGCTCACAGCAACCTCCACCTCCTGGGTTCAAGCGATTCTCCTGCTTGTAATCTCCTGTAATCCCGAGTAGCTGGGATTACAGGCATGCACCACCATGCCCAGATAATTGGTTGTATTTTTAGTAGAGATGTGGCTTCTCCATGTTGGTCATGCTGTTCTCGAACTCCCGACTTCAGGTGATCCATCCATCTCAGCCTCCCAAAGTACTGGAATTACAAGCATGAGCCACCCCACCCGGCCACAACTGTTGCTTATTAAGGCTTGTTATGCAGATTTAAACCAGTGCCTTCACCATTAATGACAGTTGTTAAGAGTCCTCCTTTTCCAGGTACAGAAGGAGATGCCTTTCACAAAAGGAAATTTCCTTTACAAAACGAAAACGTGTGACCTGTTTTTAGAGGTTTTTTTTCTGTGTCTGCTGATTCTCAGAGGCCTTTAGTTCCAAATAATCCATGTGCCAAAGAGGCATATTCTGGGATGACATATCTCAGCACTCTTCACCTCATAACCTGGATAGGTTTCATCCAAATCAGTTGAAGGTCTTGATAGATAATATTTGGGTCCCCTAAAGAGGAATGAATTTTGACTCCAGGCTGCCTTTGGACTCAAGACTAAAATATCAGTTCTTGATGGAATTTCCAGAATGCCTGGCTGTCCTATAGATTTCAGATTTGTCTGTTCCCATAGTCATATGAGCCAATTTCTTAAATCTCTCTCTCCATCTCTCTCTGTCTCTCCCCCTCCCCCTCTTCTTTTCTCTCTCTCTCTCTCTCTCTCTCTCTCTGTCTCTCCATCACACACACATACATTTTGATTAGTTCTGTTTTCCTGAGAACTTTGACCAACACACCAGGTTAATGCAAAGTGATTTGCATAAGGAATTCCGATGCCCTGGAAACAGCACGTTGGTGACTGAGTTATCACAGAAGCCGTATTGATTGGAATTGGGCAGCAACACTGTCTGCTTCATCTCAAGTGACTTCCAATTGAGGAGAGACTGGCTGCTCAGTTGTGCTGTCTGGTTTGGCTGGTGCATTGAATTAGTGGGGCCAAATAAGAGCTGAACTTGACTGGCAGATGCCAACCGGCTTTCAGCAATAAAGACCTCAGTGCCAGCAAGGCCTGTGGCTCCTTCCCTGGCTGTGTGGAGCAACAGACATCCTTGATGTGCTTTCTACTCATGGCTGTCACACCATTACACCTGGGAAAAGGCCTCAAAGCTTGCTTAAGCTACACCCTCATGGCCAGGCGCGGTGGCTCAAACCTGTGATCCCAGCACTTTGGGAGGCCGAGGTGGGCAGATCACAATGTCAGGAGTTTGAGACCAGCTTAGCCAATATGGTGAAACCCTATCTCTACTAAAAATACAAAAAAATTAGCTGGGCATGGTGGTGCATACCTGTAATTCCAGCTACTCAGGAAACCTGAGGCAATAGAATTGCTTGAATCCAGGAGGCAGAGGTTGCAGTGAGCTGAGATCGTTCCATTGCACTCCAGCCTGGGCATCAGAGTGACACTTCATCTCAAAAACGAAAAAAAAAAAAGGCTACAGTGTCATTAAAGATTAAAGCGGTGTGATCTAGAAACACAGTCAGCCCAGTTAGGATTTACTTGAAAGATAGACCCTGAAGCCTTCTGAGGGCAGGGACGTTAACATTCCATGACTTCTTCAGCATCTGGCATAGTCCCCAGCACCTACTAGGCCCTCAGTTAACTATTGCTAAATAAACAGATGAAAGAAAGAATGAACAGCTGCTCTGTAGATTTAAGGGAAGTCAACACAGGCTTGGAAAGGAAAATCCAACTTCAGAGGCTGTCAGGTAATGTCCTGCAAGGATACAGGTACGGCCGCTTTCATTGGCACTCACATTTCATTCTGAGCCCTGTGCAGTGAACTGGGCTGGTGACGTCAATTATCATTGTATCACACATACCACCTCGGATGGTCTGCAGTCATTCTCTCTATAAACCACGAGTAAAGCAACCAAGGAAATAATCCGCAGTGAAACAGCCCCAGTTCCTACAATGTAGTTTCCTTTTGTTAAGAAATCATGCAGACGAAGCTATAAAAGTTGGGGAGAAAATTGGAGCAGATGCAAGGAATGCTGTTTTTGTGTGTGTTCTTAAA